AGCAATCTGTCCTGGATGCGCCAACATTTGCCTCGGTGGTCAGTCCTACACCCAGTGATGCTGCGACTCAGTCCAGTCGTCAGCCAGTTTCTGCCACTGAGCAGCAGCAATCTGTCCAGGATGCACCAACATTTGCCTCAGTGGTCACTCAGAACTCTGCGGACATGACTAAACAGCCCTGCAAATTACTGCTGCAGCAGCCGGCTGCAGAAATCCCAGCAAACCCAAGGCCACCTGAGCCACGGCAGATTGAAGACCTGGTCCAGGCTGCCAGAGCGGCAGCTACATCCCCATCGACAACACCTGTTCCGGAGGAGCCGTGGCAGGATGTATGTGCTCCTCGCAGGAAAGTCGTTCTGTATGTTGGAGGGCTGTCACCAACAGTGACAGAAGAACGACTCCGTGGCTACGTGACACGGAATGCCAACAACCCAGCTGTTATTGTCGTCTACAAGTGTCAAATACAAAGTGCGAAACCTGAGAAGTCGACCGCATTCGCTCGGCTCACTGTGAGCGCACCCACAGCTGCGGTGCTGCTTTCTAAGGGTTTCTGGCGGGGTCGAGCATACTGTCGTCGCTGGGTGTTCAATGCTCCCGAATCCAAGGCCTCCCAAACTCCTGTCAGCAAGGACAAGGGCAGGACGACGACTGACGATGCGTCCACAGACACTGAACTCAGTTCCCAATGATAGCGGCGGGAAATCGTTCACCACAAGTCATGAGCCAGGCTATGCTTGCCGTATCCTTTCTCAATATATGTAGTCTACAGAGAAAAGTCGGCGAAGTGCAACAGTACCTTGCTGTGCGTGGAATCCATGTCCTCGGCCTGGCTGAAACTTGGCTGAAGCCATGCATTAGCGACGGCGAGATTTCGATTCCGAATTACAAGCTGTTCCGAAAGGACCGTTATCGTCAACATGGAGGAGGCGTCGCTGTGTACTGTCATGATTCTGTCCATGCCAGAAGGCGCACGGACCTGGAGTGTCCAGAGCTAGAGATGATGTGGATCGAAATTACAAGTAATGGGCGAACCACTGTTCTCGGGTGTACATATCGCCCACCAAACAAACCTGTATCGTACTGGGATGGTTTTGAGAATAACATTGAGCAAGCTTGTCAAGGACGGCAACATTCCACAGTACTCGTTGGTGACTTTAACGTGGATTTCAGCATGCCTGGTAATGCTGCCCACCCTCTTCAGCATATTCTGACGAGATTTGATCTGAAGAATTACGTATCCTCTGCAACACGAGTGACAGCACATTCCCAGACCATTCTCGACCTTTTCCTCTCAACAACAGCTATAAGTGGAACATGTGAAATAATTTACCTCGATATAAGTGATCACTATGCCATACTCGCTCATCTACCGATTCCGTCTAAACCTGCTCGCAAGGGAACATCAACTGTCACGGGTCGTCGTCTCCATCAGATTGACTGGGGCTGCTTTCAAACTGATTTACATGGCATACTGTCTGTCGGCTTTGATGATCAAGATGTTGACTCCATGACAACTTCCTTTAACAATGCTATTCTCTCCACCCTTGACCAACATGCACCCATCACCACCCGCCGCCGTGCAGACCGGCGTCCATGTCCCTGGCTGACTCGCGAGCTGGTTGAGTGTGTCCGGAACCGAAACAGACTGCACCGCCGTCTAATGCAAGATAGAGCAAACGAGGCACTCCAGCAGGAGCACCGAGCTGCACGTGCCAAGGCCAGAAAGCTAGATAGACAGTTGAAGAATGCTTACTTTATGGATCAATGCTATACGTCTGATCAGAGGAAACTTTGGTCCGTGATGAACACTGTCACCGGACGAAAAAAGACCCGCCGAGTACCCCAGGTATCAGCTGACCAGCTGGGCGACTTCTTTGCAGATGTTGTTCATGACCCCAGTCGACCTACGCACCTACAGATGCCAGTTGGCCCTACGAAATCTGATGCCCTTACAGCCTTCCAACCTGTGTCGTTGTATGATGTCGCTAAGCGTTTGCAATGTGTGGATCCACATAAAGCTACAGGAAGTGATGGAATCCCAGGTATTGTGTTGAAACGTTGCTCGGACACCCTCTCCCCATACCTGATGAAGATCGTCAACTTATCTCTTGCGTCTGGTATAGTGCCATCAACTTTCAAACATTCTCTTATCAGCCCATTGTATAAAAATGGCGACCCACTGTCAGCTCGTAACTATCGGCCCGTCTCGCTACTGCCTATTGTTTCTCGCATACTGGAACACTTTGTCAAGAAACAGCTGACAACTTTCCTAGATGATCACTCCTTGTTACCTTCAAGTCAATTTGCATACCGAAGAAATCACTCAACAGAAGATGCTCTTATCCTTGCCTCCAACCGCTGGAAATTGGCCAAATCGGAACGAAAACACACCGGGGTAGTAATGGTAGATCTATCGAAGGCATTTGATAGAGTCCAGCATGCCAGGCTTGTGCAAGTGCTGTTTGACCTTGGCATTTGTGACACACCACTGGAATGGTTC